GTTTAATTATATACTTGCAAACAATATCTCAGTTTTGCCCTGGGGACTCCTTCCAGGAAGAATATTCTCACCATTTGCAATATTTGCATGTTTGTAAAACGAACAGGTTCATTTGTTTAAAACCTGCATGTCCAGCTTTTCAGGGCTAAAGTGACAGTCAAAATCTCTAGGTCAGATGTAGCGTGCCAGGCCGATGCTGCCAGCGGTGTTGTGTGGAGCCCTGGGCTGGGCAGGCGAGGGCAGTGCCAAAGTGGGTGCTCAGGGAGCCCCGCCGTGCCCTGTGGACAAGTAGGAGGAGATTCTGGCAGCTGAGCCGGTGTGACTGGGCTTGCTGCTCAGCTCTAGTGAGCCCAGGCTGGGCACTGAGCATTGTGCACTGGTGGCAGCAGCCCGTTGGGCTCGGGGACAGGGACTGGAGCTCACCCATTGCTGGGGCTTTGTTCCGGGCAGGCAGGCATTGTGTAGCTCCACCTGGGCGCACTGCAGGCCAAAGGAGCAGAGTGAGGGGCCGAGCAGGGATCCTGTGGGTGTGGGCGGTGCTTGAGTTGTGGCCTGCCCTTTACTGTCTGTCTGCCCTGGCCCTGCAATTGCCAGCCCACATGGTGCCTCGGTGCCACTGCCTGGCACGTCAGACAGCCAGGGGGAGTGTTGTCCCGTCCCCCCGCCCCCCGGAAATGGCTTTAGCAGTTAGTTCCACAGACCTAGAAGCGCAAATTGGTGAGTCATGCACCACCACCCGCGGTGGACATTCATCTTCCCCTTCCCCAAGCCACCAGGGCACAGACAGGAAGGGGGGTGTTAAATGAGATGTGCTGGGAAGCCATGTCCCAAATTAAACCTGCCGGTGGGCTGCCCCTTGCTGGGTCTGGCTGGGAGCAGGAGCTGCTGGACCTTACACGAGCTGGAACTGAGCCAGCTCAGGTCAGGAACGGCTTGCGCTGGGTCTAGGAGCTACCCCTGATGAGGCTCTGCAGTTTAAATGTAGTAGGAGCCAAGCTGCCTGTGCACCCAGCTTTTACTACATTTAAACTGCAGAGCCTCAGCAGTGGTAGATCTGTGCACCCAGCTTTTACTTCGACTAATTGTGTAGTCGATAGAAATTCTATCAGCTACACAATTAGCTGATTACTCTTTTCTTAACATCCATAGTATGTTTACTTCATTGGCTAAGCTTTTATGATACATTTGTCTTCCAGCACTACAAAGCTAACACGGGTACAGAAGTAAGCTGAATTTTGTTCTGGGTCAGAGACTGGCATCAGAATTAGTCACATTTTCTCTCACCTCAATGCAGTGTTCTAAAAGCAGTAAAAACTTGGCAGTTTCCTTCGACAGAGTGACAGCCAAGGCAGGTTTTCATAAGGAGGGAAAGTTCTACGCTGGGCAGCCTTCCTTCTGTAATGATAATCCACACCACTGTACAAGTGCTAAACAAGTGGGGATATAACAGCATGGGGCAATTGAAATAGGGTTCATGTGGATCTCCTCCTCTCCCATCAAACTTTTGTGATCAGCTTGGCTGCAGAGGCAAGACTAGCAGAAGATGAAATAATCTGTTATACAAATGTACAGCAATTATGAGAAGTGGATACTGTCACAAACCTAGTAGTGAGGTCTGTGATAAAAGCCATCTTAAACATAATAATATTGATAATTGGGTATTAGGACTTTTTATGCTTCAGAGGGGTAGCTGAATTAGTCTGTAACAGGAAAAACTTTAAAAAACAATGAATAGACTAGTAGAACCTTAAATACTAACAAAACATGTAGGCTGCGTCTAGACTGGCAAGTTTTTCCGCAAAAGCAAGTGCTTTTGCGGAAAAACTTGCCAGCTGTCTATACTGGCCACTTGAATTTGTGCAAGAACACTGACGATCTAATGTAAGATTGTCAGTGTTCTTACGCAAATACTATGATGCTCCCGCTCAGGGATAAGCCCTCTTGCGCAAATGCTTTTGCGCAAGAGGGCCAGTGTAGACAGATGGTAACCGTTTTGCGGAAAAAGACCCGATGGCGAAAGTGGCGATCAGGGCTTTCTTCCGCAAAACTGAGTCTAGATTGGCACGGATGCTTTTCCGCAAAAAGTGCTTTTGTGCAAAAGCATCCGTGCCAATCTAGACGCTCTTTTCCGCAAATGCTTTTAACGGAAAAAGCTTTTTGTTTAAAAGCATTTGCGGAAAATCATGCCAGTCTAGACGAAGCCGTAGATGGTGGTATGAGCTTTCGTGGGCGCAACCCACTGAAGAAGTTGGGTTGTGCCCACGAAAGCTCATGATACCATCTACATGTTTTGTTAGTCTTTAAGATGCTACTAGTCTATTTATTGTTTACGTTTTTTATGTACTTTTTCTCTGCCCTGTCTTCTAATGCAGCCCTACCAAGTCTACTGGCAACATTCCTAACATTTAAACAGCTTCGCATAGTGTGTTTTTGAAATAAGCTATCGGATACACTTGTTCTTCCTAACATCCCTAACAAATCAAACGTTGTCTGCAGCCTTTGTGTGAGCAATTGTAATAAGGGCTGATTATACGAAGCTGCCATGAGCTTAAGAGAATTGTGAGAATTGACCCAAAAACCACTTACTTCAGAATTTTAGATTCATGCGTTTAAATGTAATTAGTAATTTCTCCAACAGGACTTTTCCCATGTCTCCCTATCTTTAGTATCTAATACGTCAATAATAATAGTATGATGAAAAATATGCCTGTTAGTTGTTATGTATGGGTTGCTTGGCTACTTACCGGTATACAGGCAGTCCCCGGGTTACGTACAAGATAGGGACTGTAGGTTTGTTCTTAAGTTGAATCTGTATGTAAGTCGGAACTGGCGTCCAGATTCAGCCGCTGCTGAAACTTGTAGCTCGTGAGACTGCATCACTGTTTGTTAGAGGAGTACCCTATGAATGAGAGCATGGAAAAGGTTTGCACATAATGTGCCAGTAGATGGCACTGAAGAATACATTGCCAGTTCCGTAGAGCCAATACGATTTGTTGCTGTGCATTCAGCAAATGGCTTTGTCTGTGCAGCACATTACATGAAGTTCTTAACACAATTTCTGCATATGTTTACGAGAGGAGGCGGCCCTAATTGCTCTGTCCCATCAAGACTTGGTCTTAATAAATGCGTACTATGATCATCGGCATTTTTAGTAAAAAACCAAAACCACAAACTGTCTTTAGCAATGGTCCTTTGCAAAAAGCATTCTAAACAACAGAGAAGACCGGGCTCAAAAATCTGATGATGAAGGATTCCACTTCCCCAGAGGCTAAACGAATGTGTGATAAATACCTTAAAGGAGAATTGATGTGTAGAGAGAAAAAAGTAAGTAAGTAGCACACAATTTGGCAGTTTGATTTATTTTTAGGTGCTGCTGGCAAACCCTTGAGCTGTATAATTGAGTCTCTTTGTTCTCGAAGATTGGCATTATTCCTCTGAATTTCATAATTCTTCCCAACATAGGACTTACTTCAGTGCAGCATTTGGAATATTGCAATGAAACATTTGGATCATTACAGTGGAGCTGGGTGTTACAGCTAACGGGTCTCCAGCAGACCAGGGGCACCGGAGCAGCTTACGAACGGGGCTTTCTCGCCCCAGAGCTCGCAGGTAGCAATCCGCCACCTCGACTTCCGGGGCGAGAAAGCCCCGTTCGTAAGTGCGGATCCGACATGAGTTGGATCCGCGTAAGTCGGGGACTGCCTGTAAATGCACATTTTTTAATTTGCCAGTTTACAGAAACCAGTAACAAAGATTATTTTTTAATTTATGGAGGTGAATTTTTCATTGGATTCCATTTTGTTTCTTGTTTACGAGACTAAGCTTTTTGGGCCAATGGCCATATTTGTAAAGGGTGCACAGATTGTAAGTCAGGTCTGGTATGTGTCTTTATTTCATAATGTGCCTGAATTCTTTTTCTAACTGCTTGTTTTAAAATGTAAAACATTTGAGGATTTTTCTGACTGTACTGAAACAGTGAACACTCACCTGTAATCACAAATAGATATGCCTAAGTAATATGGTTGTACAATTCATCATAAGCAGCAGGTAGAAATCTATCTTCCTTTCCTGTCTCTTGGTGAATTATTACGTACATGTTTAAACATTCATTCTATGTTGTTAATCGTCTCTGGGCAGAGATCATCTTATTATTATTGTATTGAGCAGCATACAGGCTTCAGTGAGGAAACAGATGGAGATAAAAGACTAGATTCGGAGGTCCCCTGTGACATGTTTGTGACAGCACTGCTAAAGAGCCTCAACAGCACAGATGGCCCACACAACATTTGCAGAGCCTCCTCTATGCTGCACCAGGAC